AGAGTTCCAGACAAATCAGTTTTCTCCCACAAACAGGCAACAAGTTAAAAACATGTATCCTAATTACAGTGTCCCTCTTTACACCACAGCCATGAGAATTTATCTTGAATTAAGGCAAAAGAATGTAGGAATTTAATTTGCTTCTATGTGCAGATTACTTAATTTAAACAATGGAGTTTGCTTGATCTGTTTCACTTTCAGGCTAACTTACACGAACTTAAATATGCCACTGTAGATCTTAGTTTAAAGAAGAAGGTTTTAATGGGCATCGCAGAAATATTCAACACCATGTTTCTTCCTTACTCAAGTTTTTTGTTTCTCTAACTTCATAAAAGAAAACAGAATTCTGACTTGGACCTCACCTAAGTATAGGCCTAGACCAGCCCAGTGGAGGCCAGATAGCATTTCAAAAGTTTAAAAATGTCTAGCTAAAAACTTCTAACTTCTGGCCATAACTCAGATTTTCTACTTTGCTGCTTTTCCACTGTAACTGAACCTGATTTTCTCCCCTTTCCTTGCATAGAAATGAAAACTAAACCGTTTAGGATGCACAAGAAGATTGCTCTTTTACGGTACCTTCCTTCTATAGTATCACAACTAAAAGATCAGCTCTTAATGTAAAATGATGAAACCTGGTCTTCAGCATTTCCTAAATTTTCTGGGGATTCCTTCTTGGTATTTTTTCACCTTGGCATCTGTCAGCATAATGTCCATGCAGTAAAAGTTAGAAATAATAGGCACATATAGAGAGGAACTACATGAAAAGTATATCATGTGGTGCAAAAGTTATGAAAGAACCTGTTACTTTCTTTGGAAATATGCAAATACCACTTTAAACAACCATCTTATGAGGAAGAAGAGTGTCATAGGCTTTTGTTGTGGTTATTAACCATAAAATATATCCTACAGGTCACATTAGGGCAATGAGCAGGCCAGCCAGACTGAGAACGCAGTAACTGCTTACCTGTCTCTTCAGATTCCAAAATTTCTTGCAATACCAGGAAGGAAGCAGATTGTCTGGGTGGTTCATTTGCCTCTTGGTTCTCCTGCAGCATCTTGTACACCTCTGACTCCTTGTCTATGACAATGTTACTTGATGGCTGATGAGGTTGGTCTAAGCTGAGGAGAATTTAACACACATATATGATAAATGATTGATGATTAAAGTGATACCATTGCCAATGTACAGATGTATCATAATGTAAGAGTTCTAAGTGCTTACACATATGCACATGCACACATACGTGCTCGCGCCATTAAATACTGGTGGTGCTAGCTGTGTTTGCATACGAAAGCTGCAATTATAGGTGAGGTTAGCCTATGCGAGGCCTATTAGAGCTTCCCATTTCTGAAGGATTGCCATCATTCCTCAATGCATTTTTTCTGAAGGCTCCCTATTTGCCCACTCCTGCTCCAGTCAGTACTGCAGTTCAATTAAAGAACTAATAGTTACTTTCTGGGAAATCATAGTTCTACTGAAAAATAATGACCTTCAGTGCCACAGAGGATCGGGTTGCCCTCAGAGATTCCTCAGCCCCTTTGAGGGAAGGCTACATGGCTTTCTCTTTCACATAGGCAGAGAACAGAGAATGGGGAGAAAGTTTATTTTAAGAATGAAGGAGAAAGTGTAAAGTTAAAATGGAGCTTCACAATATAAACTGAGTTTAAGCTTCAATGCAATGGGGATCATGACTCTTCCTACCAAAAAGATGGCTTGACTCACTGCAATAAGGGCTGCCCAATGTCTTGGAACACGGAGGCAGGCAGGGCCTGACCTGGCACCGGCTACTTCAAGAGATCAAGCTCAAAGTGATATTTTTTTTAAGTGAGAGTTAACATTTCCATTTTACAATGGGGACATTAAGGCACAAACCACTTAGGCAATTTGCCTAAGGTTACAAAGCAAGCCAGTGGCAGATTCAGAAATTAAGTTTCAATTCCTGATGCCTATGCTCTGGATTTATCTACTCAACCCCACCGACTCCCTTCACATTTCTGTTCTCATTTGTGTACTGCAAATACTCATAGAATCATACAAAAGTAGGGTTGGAAGGATATCAGGAGGTCATCTAGTCCAACAACCTGCTCACAGCAGGACCACTCCCAACTAGATCATCCCAACCAAAGCTTTGTCTAGCTGGG